CCATCCCCAGCACCCACTGGAGAAGATACACTGGGAAATCAGAGGCCTCAACCAAGACAGAGCTCCAGAGGGAGGGTGCTGCCACCCAGGACTCAGGCTGCAGGGTGACACTGGCCTCACAGTGGGAGATACAGTCTGGTTGGGGCACTGAGTCACCAACGAAAGGAGCTGTGGGAGGAGGTGAACAGACTCCGCAGCATCACAGAGAATAAACAGGACACGAATAGGGTCACCTCAGGGACCTTGCAAAAGTTTCTGGAGGATGTTGGGGTAAACTCCTTCATACAGATACTACATGTGTCATCTTTCAGATCTGCTACTCGGAAGAAGGAAGAACTGGTTGGGGATATGATAACCAATGACAACCATAAAACAGTGGAATAGTGAAGGCAAGTAACAGAACACAGGCCCTGGGCTTCAGGAAAAACTGGCTGGATCATCAAGGTCTGAGGATGGTGGTTAATGGTTTATACTCTAACCTGGAGGCTGATTACAAGTGAAGTACCACAGAGGCCTATGAGACCTATCGAACTTAGTACCTTTACCAATGCCAAGGAGGAGGAGGTGGAACACCCCCCCAACAAGTTGCGGATGAGGGAAAACTGGGGAAACGGTTGATACGCTTGAGGGTAGAGCTGCCATTCAGGGGGAACTAGACAGGCAGGAGAAATGGGCCACAGGAAACTCGTGATATTCAACAAGGACAAATACAAAGTCCAGCACTCATGATGGACTAACCCCCTGCAATGGTTCAGGTGGAGGACTGACTGGAGAACATCTCTGCAGAAAAGAATGTGGGAGTTCCAGTGGACATCAGGCGAAACATGAGCCAGCAGTGTACCCCGGTAAGCGATGAAGACTAACAGCATCAATAGGATGTATTTAGGATGTATTGGCTGTATCAACAGGAGCACAGCCAGTAGACTGAGAGAAGTGATTACTACCCTTTACTTAGCACTTGTTGGATCACGTTTGGGCCACTCTGGGGACCTGAATACGAGACAGGCTTTGATAACCTGGAGCAAGCTCAGTGGAGAGCCACCAGGATGGTCAGAGGCTGGAGAACCTGCTCTGGGAGAGGAGGCTGAGGGACACAGGCTTGTTCAGAATGAAAAGGAACCTATGAGCAGCCTCCCCAGTACCTACAGAGAGGTGACTGAGACAATGGAGCCAGGCTCTTTACAGTGGTATATGACAGGAGAATGAGAGATTACAGGCATAAAATGAAACAAGAAGTTCTGACTAGGTATAAGGAAAGGAATTCTTCACTGTGAGGATGATTTAGCACTGGAACAGGTCATTCAGAGAGGGTGTGGAATCTTTGTTCTAAGCGGTTTTCAAGACCTGGCTGGACAAATCCCTCAGCAGCCCGGTCTGAATTCAGAGTGGACTCTGCTTTGAACAGGAGGATGGACGAGAGACCGCCTAAGGTCCCTTTCAACCTGATTGAATCTATCTGCAATTAGTATTTTACTTTGGAGCAGGATTTTGCTTTTGAAATGGATCAGATTGTCCACACCTATGACACTTCAGCCTGCACTGCACAGTTCTCTCAGAGTACACAAAATAAATTCCTTTGGGATGAAATTAAACCAAAATGTGTGCATCAGCCGCTAATGAGTGGTAGTCCATTGGACCAGGCCAGAGAATGCCCAAAGCACTCCCCTTTCTCCAAAACACGTATAATGTGGATGTTAGATATTCAGTACCATTTTGTTTTACAGATGCACTTCTATTGTGCCACGCTACTTGCTAATGTAGACATTATCATCTGAAGAGTTATGTTTTTCTATTTCAGCAGATGAAAAGGAATGCTAGCATATAAACCCTGACTTTTTGGCTTTTTGATGTTGACAAACTTTTTCCAAGGATAGAAATGCGTGTTACCTGCCTGCAAGACTGAACGTATATATCCTCACTAGAGCTATGCAGAAGTCTTTTTGCCCTTCTTAACAGTTCCTGCGCATGCAAAGCAAGATCAACAAAGCAGGGTTTTGCCCAACTCAGGTTCTCCTGCACTGGAGGATTCCAAATGGGAGAGAAGAGCAATAAAGAAATGTGAAGTGCAAGTCCACATCAAAGTCAGGTGACAGTTCATTCATTTTTTAAACTTTTTGCTGTATATGATAGTTTGATAAACAGGAGTTATTTGAAAAAGCCAGACTGTGAGACTTAATTAAAAGTGTTGGTCCACCCAACTGAACATTCAACAGAGATGCTAGTATAACACCGTGCTTTGTAACACTCTGAACAAAGGCCCACATAGCATCTCCGAAAACTTCTGTAACAGGAAAACACCTGCAACTCCCAAGAAAGCCACCTCTGTACAAACAGGAACGATTTAACCCCGTTAACAGAGGGACACCTTTTCCTTTGCAGTTCTCTTCAACATACAACCTAATCACACAGACAGGATACCTCCGGTACATCTCAGTGTTTTTATTCTCTAAACAGCTAGGCACCAAGGCTGATTGTGCTTATGGAACTTACTAAGCGGGAAGGAAGACAAGAGCCTGGCCACCAGCATTTCCTGAACATAGAGCTTCGTAAGTCGTCAGGAGTGAATGATCTGCAGATTGCACACAGCGCAGGAAACCACCCTTCTCCTTATCAAGCCACACACTTCATAGAAGCATCTGGACATGAAGCACCCTAGAAGAACGCCACTTTAACAGTCACAGTTCTTTCCCTTTTGAAGGTTTACAAGATTACAAGATTTCTGAGCCCATATCAGAAAACCGTATAAACCAATGCAAAAAATATTTTTATTTTAAAAACAAACAAAAACAAACAACACATTTAAAACATCTAACATTAACCTTAACTCATATCGAAAAATAAAAGCACAGTCCTCAGAAAGTTTCAATCTAGATTAATCTTTTATGGATTGGATCATACCCCATCTGCTGCTACTTCAGGAAAAAAACTAGCTGGTCAGTTGATCATCATATCTACTATAAAGCTACCCTCCTTTACAAAACTTAGAGGTAAACCTCCTTCTTACACAGAACTTACCAATGGCCTTTGTGTAATGTCTGGCTCCAAGTAACAGCTCTGGAGCTCTGTACCAGAATGTCACCACAACTGGATCCAAGTCTGCCAATGGCTTCAAAGGCGAGTTGAACAATCTTGCAAAACCCATATCAGCTGGGGGGAGCGGGAGGGAAGAAAAGAACATTTAAAATTTTAATACAAATAAATCAGAATTTAACAGTATTGCCAAAAATCAATTATAACAAAAGCTCAAAAACATTAAAACTTACAAATCAAAGTTTCTAAGAAAGCAACAAGTTACTCATAACAATACTGGGCCAAATTATCTAAGGCTAAATTCCATTTACTTCATTTATAAGACTATGAAGGATGACGTTTGACTTTTGAGTGTTTTCATCATGGTATTGTAAAACTTTACAAAACACAGATGCCTGTTTATTTAAATAGAACTGTAACAGAAACCTGGTTAACTAAAGCAAATAGTAGTAGGTCTCTAATGTATATTTTTTATTTTTATATGTTTACAAAACTGTGATCCCTTGTGACTGCTATATATTTACCCTAAGTGCAAAACCAAAATGACTGCAGTGTAGTTAGTTTGTTTTGCACTATTTTTCAAAATGTGCCTCCTACTTGATTTGGAAGAACAAACTCCAGAATCAGGAAAAAGTTTTTAACTGGGAATTAATGAAATCAGTGAGTTTACACTGTTACAAAGGTGTATTTTAAATCTAAGCATTCATTTTATATAATTCAAAAATCCTCTCTAGAAACAACCTTGTAAGTAACATTACTTACAAGTTAAGTTAACATTCACTGGTGAGGCCGCACCTTGAGTACTGTGTTCAGTTTTGGGCCCCTCACTACAAGAAGGACGTTGAGGTGCTGGAGCGTGTCCAGAGAAGGGCAACGAGGCTGGTGAAGGGTCTGGAGAACAAATATTATTATGAGTGGCTGAGGGAGCTGGGGTTGTTTAGCCTGGAGAAAAGGAGGCTGAGGGGAGACCTCATCGCTCTCTACAACTACCTGAAAGGAGGCTGTAGCGAGGTGGGTGTCGGTCTCTTCTCCCAAGTAACTAGCGATAGGACGAGAGGAAATGGCCTGAAGTTGCGCCAGGGGAGGTTTAGATTGGACATGAGGAAAGATTTCTTTGCTGAAAGAGTGGTTAAATATTGGAAGAGGCTGCCCAGGGAAGTGGCTGAGTCACCATCCCTGGAGGTATTTAAAAGACGTGTAGATGCGGCGCTTAGGGACATGGTTTAGTGGGCATGGTGGTGTTGGGTTGACGGTTGGACTCGATGACCTTCGAGGTCTTTTCCAACCTTAATGATTCTATGATTAAGAAATGCTAGAAGGGAAAGTACAAAATTTAGGTGTATATTCAAAATGACACATTTTAATCCAAGTCTGAAACTTAACTTTTACACAACTTCACCTAAATCTTTCTGCTTTCAGAGTTATGAAATGCCAAGTATAATTTTCTTGCAGATACCCATACTAATACAAGCCTATGAATCATAGAATCATTAAGGTTAGAAAAGACCTCCAAGATCATCGAGTCCAACCATCAACCCAACACCACCATGCCCACTAAACCATGTCCCTAAGCGCCACATCTACACGTCTTTTAAATACTTCCAGGGATGGGGACTCAACCACTTCCCTAGGCAGCCTCTTCCAATGTTTAACCACTCTTTCAGCAAAGAAATCTTTCCTCACATCCAATCTAAACCTCCCCCGGCGCACCTTCAGGCCATTTCCTCTCGTCCTATCGCCAGTTACTTGGGAGAAGAGACCGACACCCACCTCACTACAACCTCCTTTCAGGTAGCTGTAGAGAGCAATGAGGTCTCCCCTCAGCCTCCTTTTCTCCAGGCTAAACAACCCCAGCTCCCTCAGCCACTCATCATAATATTTGTTCTCCAGACCCCTCACCAGCCTCGTTGCCCTTCTCTGGACACGCTCCAGCACCTCAACGTCCTTCTTGTAGTGAGGGGCCCAAAACTCAACACAGTATTTGAGGTGCGGCCTCACCAGTGCCGAGTACAGGGGCACGATCACTTCCCTGCTCCTGCTGGCCACACTATTTCTGATACAGGCCAGGATGCCGTTGGCCTTCTTGGCTGCCTGGGCACACTGCCGGCTCCTGTTCAGCCGGCTGTCAACCAGCACCCCCAGGTCCTTTTCCGACAGGCAGCTTCCCAGCCACTCTTCCCCAAGCCTGTAGCGCTGCATGGGGTTGTTGTGGCCAAAGTGCAGGACCCAGCACTTGGCCTTGTTGAATCTCATACAGTTGGCCTCGGCCCATCGATCCAGCCTGTCCAGGTCCCTCTGCAGAGCCTTCCTACCCTCGAGCAGATCAACACTCCCACCCAACTTGGTGTCATCTGCAAACTTACTGAGGGTGCACTCGATCCCCTCATCCAGATCATTGATAAAGATATTGAACAGAACTGGCCCCAAAACTGAGTCCTGGGGAACACCGCTCGTGACTGGCAAATCAAAAATGAATCAAAAATGGTTAGCTGAACATTTTCAAATAAAACGAAAGTCAATGAATAGAAAAGAGGTTCCAGTATATTACTACTTTCTTGATGATTGCCACATGCTTTATTAAAAAAAGTTTATAACCACATGACAGGCTTATGATCTGCATAGGTAATTAGATTTTGGATAAAGACCATCACAGTTACACATTTTCCACCTTGACACTGAATAGCCTTTTGCATAGCAAACCTTTCGACCTCTTCAAATATGTGCATTGATGTTATTTATGTAAAAATAATTAAGAACAAATACAATTTATAAGCAACAATGTTATACTAACTAATCATAGTAGAAGTCAAAAGAACACTGGCCATAGCCATTGTTTTATGTGCTTATTACTTTGTCCCTTACAGATGCTTTTATCTCACCAGATGTCCTTGGCAGGCTTTATAAATGTGTAATAATATGTTTGGAATCTCTTAAGCTTGTAAACTCAGTGAATGAGATTTAAAATGAGGGCCTGTGTGAACCTCATGAAGTTCAACAAGGCCAAGTGCAAGGTCCTGCACCTGGGTCGGGGCAACCCACGGTATCAATCCAGGCTGGGGGATGAAGGGATTGAGAGCAGCCCTGCCAACAAGGACTTGGGGGTACTGGTGGGTGAAAAGCTGGACAGGAGTCGACAATGTGCGCTCGCAGCCCAGAAGACCAATCGTATCCTGGGCTGCATCCAAAGAAGCGTGGCCAGGTGATTCTGCCCCTCTACTCTGCTCTGGTGAGACCCCACCTGGAGTACTGCGTCCAGCTCTGGAGCCCTCAGCATGAGAAAGACATGGACCTGTTGGAGCAGGACCAGAAGAGGGCCACAAAAATGATCAGGGGGATGGAACACCTCTCCTATGCAGAAAGGCTGAGAGAGTTGGGGTTGTTCAGCCTGGAGAGGAGAAGGCTCCAGGGAGACCTTATTGCAGCCTATCAGTACTTAAAGGGGGCTTATAAAAAAGATGGCGGCAAACTTTTTAGCAGGGCTTGTTGCGACAGGACAAGGGGGAATGGCTTTAAACTAAAGGGGGGTAGATTTCCACTAGATATAAGGAAGAAATTTTTTACGCTGAGGGTGGTGAAGCACTGGCACAGGTGGCGAAGCACTGGCACAGGTGGCCCAGAGAGGTGGATGCCCCGTCCCTGGAAACATTCAAGGTCAGGTTGGACGGGGCTCTGAGCAACCTGATCTAGTTGAAGATGTCCCTGCCCACGGCAGGGGGGTTGGACTAGATGACTTTTAAAGGTCCCTTCCAACCCAAACTATTTTATGATTCTATGAAAATTGAACTAGATGTTGTGCATACATACACTCAAAGAATAATGAAGATTTGTTTCTATCTTACAGTGAAGATGCAATTTAAGTAGTTCCTTTGCTGTGCAATGAAATTTTCTCAAAATGTTTACCTATTTTGACTCTTCCTCTTTCGGGACCTTCACCCATTACCAGAATGTTTGCTGGTTTCTGGAAAACAAAAAGCAGAATATTTAGTTGACCAGCCTTTGATGATTATCTTCAAGGATAATAAAAATACCTACAATCATTCTATAATGAAAACATTTCTATAAATATGCTTACAAGTCTAAAATTACCATACCTTTATGTTTTGCTGACATTTAGTTTTTATCCCTAGTTACCAATTTCACAATTAGAAAAACAGTAAAGCACTTTGACATTTCACACTAAGAAATGCAATCTTTAATTAAATTTGCATTTCCATTTTTACCAGAATGATCACATTCATTGGCGAGATTTTCTTCTACAGGAAAATTTTATACCAGGCTAACATTTATGCTACGCATCAATAATCTGGCAAGAACTACTTTTGCTAGTACAACTTACTGAAAACGATGCCAAATCTTGGTATGCAAATGCATAGATGAGAGTTGCTTTTGTTCTCATCATATATAACTACATTTGTAGAGCTGTTCTTGTTTTTAGTGTATGAATGATAAAAATCACACTGGCAAAAGCATTTTTTTCCACAGAGTAAGTTGATTTCATGCTATGAGAATTCACTCAAAACGGGAGTATACACAGACATCCACAAGCTTTTGACAGTGTAGACAGCAGCTTTACAAGTAGAACAAAAACTTTATAGGCATTTTATGCCATCTGCAGCTGTTGTAACCAGCCGCTTGTGAACACCATATAAAATCTGCACATGATATCATGGCAATTGTTCTGCAATTAGGATCTAGGTTCCCTCAGACATCAATAGTCATTGCTTGGAAGCCTTTCCCTATTGTGTTAACAGCTGTAAAGAAGTAAACAAGATGGAAAACATTAAGTGATTTGAATGAAGAGATGCATAACAAAGTTTCAAAGCAGAATTTTTGGAAGGTTTATCCGAACATTAATTATATTTAAAATCACTAATGCCTGAAGAGGTCTGCTCAAGCAGGATTTGTTCAAGAATCTGAAAGAGATGTCCAGAAAGCCAACATCAGAATCTCACTTAATTTCTCAGTTCCTAACACTTGCTACTATTCACCTGAAATGAGACACTCAAACTAGGGTTACTAATTTGGCTCAAAATTGCAAATCCTTAGCTTTTTTGAAAAACCAAACTGAAAAAAAAAAAAAAAAGCACTATTTCACCTGTTCTTTCTCCTTCCCCCCAGGAAGCTGTTCTCCCTTCCCACCTCACCCCCAGTGCTAGACATTGCTTCTTCCCTGGCTCCAGCCACAGCCTCTCTTTCCAACCCATCTCCAGATGCCATTGCCTCTTTTACTCCTCCTTTTTTAATCTCGGGATAATTCTCAACACCATCCCTGACTTCTCATTCCCCAACGTATTTTTGGAACCCTTCAAGAGGGAATATGCACTCCCTTCTTGGAGAATGCAATAGCTATTTTAATTGATCTTGAGTAAACGCTCACCAGCAAATCTAGAAAAGATAAAGATTAGCTAATATTTAATGATAATGAAATCAACACTTCAAGGCAACTGGTCAAACTCTGGTTTTACGTTTATGTATTATCCTGAATTGAATATTCTGGAGAACAGAACAATCCCACTCTGCATATTCAGAAACCAGGCAGCAAGGGAAGCATGCAAGTTCACACTACACTTTACCTCTGTTAGAAATCACATCGCTAAAATTGTCTCAACCGAGACAGCAAAATTCCAGCTTCCTTGTCGGAATTCCTCCCTAAAATCCTGCCTAGCAACCTTGCTTGAGAGTTGAGTATGAATCAAAAACACTTCAACAGACCTTTACATTCAGGACTGTATTTTATGCACTATAAAATGCATTTATTTGTCCCATGAACAGAGCTGATAAAAATGTAGTTACTGCACTGATTTCTAGGTTAGGTTCTTTTTTTCTATAGAAAAATTATGATGTGAGAGATAAACTGTGTAACACCAGGAGATGTACTAAGATAAAATTTAAAATCTAAGCAGATACAACAGCATTATTAAAACATCTCGTATTCGTATTTTACCTGTAATATTACAAGACTCTTCAAGCAGCAATTACTTCATAGAAAAAAGTACTATTTTATCTGCTGACATAAACCACAATATTCACAGAATAGTTCAGGTTGGAAAGGACCTCTGGAGATCATCAAGTCCAACTCCCCTGCTCAAAGCAGAGTCAACTACAGCAGATTGCTCAGGCCTGAGTCCAGTTGGGTTTTAAGTATCTCCAGGGATGGAGACTCCATGGCCTCTCTGTGAAACCTCTTCCAGCGTTTGACCACCCTCACAGTAGAAAAAGGCTTCTTCGTACAGGGGAGAGAGAGAGAGGGAAAACAGAGAAGGAATAAAGTGTGAAACAGTTGAAAACTTAGTGTTATTTCCAAAAGAGCAAGTGCTCCTCCTGAGGCACCACCACCAACATGGAGACGACAGGCATTTCATGGATGGCATCCTGATGCCTGCAGGATCCCCGCTGATCTGCAGACTGCTGCCTCAGTAACAGCTTGCATTGCGGCAGCTTCCTGCCAGGTGAGAAGTCTTCATTCAGACCTGTTCCTTAAGTCAGAAGGAGAACACACCTGAACTTGCTTCTTATTTCCCACATGAGCAAGTTACTGCTTGGTTATCAGCTACGCAAAAGATAAGAACTTTCTGAGTTCCTCTTGCTAATCAGAGCTGTTCTGGTTAGGAAAGCATTTTCAACTGTATGTACACTGAACCAGTCAAACAGTAACACTAACCCGATAGGACCCATCTTTCTGAGATGGGGCAAATGATATCCAGCTCCTGTGTCCATGAATTTTTATTTAATAAAAATAAACAGCTTCAGAGGAGCTTAAAACATAGGTCATGTGTTTTGTGGTTGTTTTATATAATAATGGCTTAAACGCTATAAAGTAAAACTCCTCACCTCCCCAGTCTTCACGATACACAAGTCACGCTGAGAGCAACCCAACCCTCATGGAGCAGGGGTGCTTCCTCAGGGCCTTGGCTAAACAAGCAGCACCAGGGCAGAGCAGCAGAACTTCAGGTGCTCAGGTATGGAGGAAAGACTGGGTTATTTCAGAGGGATTAATTTGGCATCAGAGATCCTCAGGAAAGTAGGAAAGGAACGTTTCCATCATGAGGTAAGTGAGAGGACTGCTAAAGGGAATGCAAAAAGCTTCTGCTTTTTGGAGAAGGGAGAATGTGTTAGTCTAATCTCTGGATATGTAGGATTTTAAGTATCAAAACATTTTACTCTGAGATAGTAACTTAATAGTCTACTATACAATTACAGTCTAGTACCATATAGTTACTGGACAGCTGCAAAAATCAGATTAAAAAGTGGGAATCCGAGAAATTAAAAAGCCCCATACCTCATATATGTTCAGGCTACATGCAGGTTATAAGCACCAGTCTAGTTCCTGAAATAAATCTTACTGCTGTCCACATGATGAAGAAAACGGGGTTTTAGGTGGAAGAAAACATGAAGGCCCAAGCAGCCAAAACCTGACACATACTTAATCACGTCTCTGTCAGAGAGGATGGAATTTTATTCAAGAAAGTCTGAGAAGCCCTGCTTAAAATTATTAACTAACTCCTTAGCAAAGGGTGAGGTAACTCAGCAACGACTACACTTCTGAGCCAGTTACATCCCAATTAATACCCTCTCTATTTTCCTCAAACTCTCCCCTTGCTGAGAACACAAAACACCAGCTGGGAAGCAAGGCGATGCTGCTGTGTCTCCACCTATCTAGTTGCTATAGAAACAACAGAAACAGTAAGAGTTAGGAGTCTCACATTTAAGATTAGCTGTAAAAATGAACAGAGAAATCCCTGCTGAGAAATGCAGTTGAGTTTTGACTGTCTAAAGAATATTTGCAGAAGAGCAAGGTCAACAGCAACAAACAATTGGAGCAAAAACCTGAAGTATCTGCAAAAAGGGATGTAGATGGCAATAATTTAATGGGCTCTTACACAAGTAGTAAGCATGGATAATGTATTTAGTTTTCTACATCAGTGGGAGAATGGGAATAAAGCAATTAACAGATCCTGGTGGGAGAGAAATTAAAATGTTGAGCTAACAAGTATGTTTTCATAAATAATAGAAGTATCATGAATGGGACTCATAAGGACATCCATGTTATCTTAATCAATATGCTTCCTATTTAAATATTTAGACAGTAGATTAGAATAAAGGTTGAAGGAAAAGAAACCATCTATGGTTTTGAAAGACCATAATGGGTCAAAACAGGAACAACAGCCTAACAATAGATGGCAATACTTTAGTTTTAATGGTTATTGTTGTTATCTCCTCAAGTACAGCGGTGACACAATTCTTAAGAGATTTGGTGCAGAATTACATTCCTGTGAGAAAACGTCCATAGGGACATACCACTTTCCATACACCATTCTTTATTGTTTATATGCAAACAAATGTGTTTCCCTTTTGGAATGTATCACTGGACAAAGAATAATCTGAAATTAAGAGGCTTCTATTGTAAAAGATATTGCAAGTCTCTTAGACAAAAGCTCTGCCCATAATTAAAGAAGCTGGCTTGTGATGAGGTCTTTTCAAGTCTCTATTTAAAAAAGCAATTGTAAACAGCACAGTGTTGATATATAGATGTGCTTCCAATTCACAAGCCAAAAAAAAAGAGTAGCAGTGATTTCATCTTCGCTTTTAGCACACTGCTCTACGAATGGCAAAGGTCCTAAATGAGATGACAGCGTTCAACTGCGTGGGCACTGCTCAAAACACCACTGAGCCTTTAAGACCCAGATTAAGAGGGAGCTGCAGGTTGTTCACAGAAGTTTGCAGACAAAGCTTTTGCTCTTCTCATCCATAAGAAAATATAGGTGCTTTCCTGCCTTAAGTCAATGCTATTCAAACCCAGACATTGCTTTCAGATCAATATACTGGCATACTGGTACTAACAGTTTTGATAACAATTGATCTAATTAATGCAGGATTTAAAAAAGAAATGGTTCTAAAAATATTTTATTATGCACTGCAAACCTCCAAATCATTTTCACTTCCTTTCACATTAATTCC